CCTTCAGTTTGGTCTCATGAACTGGGGGGTGGCATCCTCGCTCCTGTCGCACTTCAAGCGAGAGTGATTGAATCAAGAAAAAATTATGAAGGATTCTATGATGGATTTGACCATTTTGTAGTTGCAACGTTGTTTCCTATAGATGATCTTCCTCATTCCGCAAGAGACAAATTAAAAAAGCCTTAATATCTTTTGTTTTTTTTAGATTGAGCTCGGCCGCAATGGGTGGCATCCTTGCTCCTGTGGCACTTCAAGCGAGATTGTTATTGAAGAGTTCTTCCAAGAAGTAGTCACCCTAGAGGAAGTTGCTAAGGAGCTCAAAATACTTTGCTAACATAGTAGATCAATCATTGCTTCTTACCTCACCAGATTAGTACGAGCTAATAGCTTCTTTAACAACTCTAAGATACAACAATAATTTTTTGTTTGTATTTGTTAAGAGCGATTTCACTTCTTAGAAAGCCTTCTTATAATTTTTACTCCATTAAAAGTCCTTTGCACTTAATATTTTGAAGAATAGAGCACTTATCACCTATTTTTGAAATGAATCGGCTTAAACCTGTTATTCATCCGATCACTTTTTGTAATACTTTGATGTTTCTCGACAATGGCATCTTCAAGATCAGCTCAATTTTATTTGGATTCATTTTGATGCATTCAAGAGTGTGTACGCAACTCGAGAATTTGTCTGATCAAGCTCCAAAACAACACAAATGGGTTCAACCTCATAGTAAATTTCTTTAGAAGAATATTTCATCCAAGCCAAAAATATATGTTGAGGGCCTTTAACTATTTACAAGTAGATCGTCCACTTTGACATTTAACAATTATTCATTTTTGTTCCTTAAAAATAAGACCTCATCATTCTTTAGAAAATAGCAACATCATTCTTCAATCTAAAATGCATGATATTATAGTTGTATAATTCATCTCCATTGACAAAGGTTGACATTTTGGTGTTAGAACATGCATTTTGATTTGGTGATAACCCAAGAAGACATCAAAAAAGATAGTCACGATGTAGCCAATAGTTGAGTCAAATAAGGCATCAATTCGTGTTATATTAGCTATCTTTGGGTCAATTTAAGTTATAATAAGTGAAATGGACACATCCACCATTTGAATTTTAGATAATCACAAGATTTAATATATATTTGGAATATTGTACTTCTCTTATGAATCATGTTTCAAGTAATTTTTGAACTAAATGAACGATTTTGCAAATTTTGTAACAAATGGCCCAATTTTCATTTGATTGACATTTTTATCCAAATTAATTATTATGCAACATTAATGTTGATTGTTGGCATCTCGAAAGCTGACCAAGCAAATACGTTGATGGTCTTTCTTAGAATCACCATAAAGTAGCACTTGTACTCAACATTGGAAGATGAGCTAATTCTGAAATGCAGCTGGGGCCTCCTTTCTCCAGTTCTTCTTCGATGTTTTTAGAGTTGTCCATACCCATATCTTTTTCAACTTCCAAGTTCAAAACTTCCTCCAAAATAGCCTCACAATTTTCAATTAGCAATTTTTTTATTTAAGCAAATCGCCTCTCATTGTTATTTCTTGGCCTCAACCAAAAAATTTCACGATGTCTCAATATGTAAAAACAACTAAATGAAAAGTGTTGAATCGAGCTTGGTTGAATGTAGCATTGTAAGTCACCAAAGTATCAATTATTATGAAGTTAACAATGGTTAGAATTGTCAATCTCCTTCCCAATTGACCACAAAGTGATTATTCATTTAATCTCCCTTTTCTTTCTGAAAATTCATACATGGGGCTTATGGTCTACGATAATTGAATTCCTTCAATAATCGCTTTCCTAAATATTTTTTTAAGATTAAATTTATTGTGCATCCATTTTCAATCAATAAGTTGTTGATTTAGTAGTGAGCACCAAAATATCATGATTACTATAGTATCATTGTAAGGATTACCCATGAACCAGCCTGTCAACTTCAAAGAATAATAATGGGGGCAATTTTCATAGTTGATGCTTGCATCGTAGCCATCAAGTTCACATTCCCTGACCTAAGTTCTTTGAAATTGGTCGAGCGAGCACCTCTTTAAATCTGCATAAGATAGTGGGTATGATTATGACAATATAGATTGCTCTCGCAAATACTGGCTCACTTCAATCTTCCACCATCGACTCTTTGCTTAGCATTTGCCTAGGTTAGCTAAGATGAATTCTTTCAACTTTTAGTCCTTAATTAATTCTTCAAATAAGTTTATGACGTGGTAATAACACTCAATGTCCTGGTTGTGGTCTTTATGGAAGGCACAATGCTTGATCATGCATCTTAAGTGAGGACCGGCCATCATATGGTTGTAGGGTGCCTAAAATATTCTTTTTTTTAATCGCCTTAACTAGCTCAGCCATCAAGATTCTCATCGGAATTAATGCTCAAAGTTTGTGGGTGAACAATGATAAAAGTGACCTTTCTTCTCTTATCTTCATCTTGCTTGTCATATTAGGTTTATCTTGGTCAAAAATAAGGTCACAAGGGTTACAAGGTAATAATTGGATATGAGGTTGAGTGGCCTATCCCAAATCTCATAAGCTTGTGTCGACTACGTTATGATGTTTTTGGGGATTCTTAACTTCCTCACTTAATCAAAGCCTCTTATTCGACTTAAGGACAAGGCTTCGATCTCATTATTGTATTAATCTTTGTTTCTATGATTGTTGGCGAATTTGCTCGACTAATATCTATGGTTGTTGCAAGGCTAGCACATAGTGAAAATGTCATTTATGGAGACTCTGAATAAGAGCCATGTGAGACATAGACAACTCTAGGTCTTTTATCTCAAGCATCTATCGTTAAAATCATGTCATGAAGTTTATCATTGACTCACGGAGCTCTTCTTGAATCTTCTAGAAGGCCTCCAAATATTTCTAGAGTGTCGTGTGCTGAAGAACTAGACGATGAATATTCCATTGAACTCGATAAATGAAGTGATTATCTCGAGCGGTAGATGGAAAAACCACCGTAAGAATATATTCTTTAAGAGTTGCGAGTAGTAACCACCACTCCATCGTGTCATTGATATTTAGCAACAAAATAACTGATTCTAAGTGACCAAAGTTATCAACCGGGTCAGCCTGCCCTTTGCAAGAGTAAGTGTGAAATTTATATTTGCATGGGAGCCTAGATTATGCTCTCTCAAAAAAAAGGTATTTGCCCGTCGTGGTCGCCTTCTCCCTAATGCTACTGCCCAAAAGTTTTCCTCCTAACTATCGAGTTGATAGGTTCCTCATGCAAGTTCACCCAAGATGCAATTCTTGGGATCTGGTCTAAGACAATCTGACAAATTTGGTTCAGCCCCACATTCATTTCAGTTAGTTATCTAGTCAGTACAAAGTCTTGGATTCACAAAAACTTCTTTTGCAAGGGTCTCACTAGTTAGTTCTTTGTTGGGAGCTTCTATTTATCTCTATTTGGCATGCTCATTACACCTTTTAAAATGTTGGATCCTGGTTTATTTTTCTACTTGTTATGCCAACAATTTAACATAAAAAAGAAAAGAAAGTTAAGAAATAGATGAAGAAGAAAACTAATAATAATGTAGAAGGAAATCCAATATCAAGCTCAAATGAATAATAATTTTAGACTAGAGTACACAGAACTATGTAAGCACGTCGAGTTTATATTTATAAATAAGGATCGGGATAAAAGGCTAGAAATGATCTACATATATAAGAAGATGAAGTGAAAGAGGCATATAGCCTAAAAAAGAGCTCAAACTTAAAAAATTATTCAATCGTCTATTTGAGAGAAAGTCATCAAACAACTTTCTAGGATCGAGCGATTGTCGGGTTGAGTTAATCTAGCAAGTCTAATGTAAACCTGAGCTCGTTCTTTATGAGCTTGTTGAATGATCATCACTTAAATTTCTCTAACAAATTTGCCTAGGCCCTGTTGAATGAGTCTCCATGAACTAGGCTTGCGAGTTTTGCTTGAACCCAATTGGCAAATCTAATTAAGCTACACAGGCAAGATCATCCTAAGCCCGTTTAGAGCTCTCTCTACATGAGTTCCGCTCTTAGCACATTAGCGGTATACAAATTCAATCAACAAATCCCTACCAACTGAACAATTTGACTTGAATTAACTTAGCAGGAGTTCTACTACTAAATCATAGGCAAAAGAAGGCTTATTGTGAAAATAAGTTGCACGTTGCAATTAGATTCACTCTATCAACCCTTTTGAACAATTAAAAGCAACAAGCGGTGTTACAAAAGATGTGCAACAAATTTATAAAAAAGTATAGTACATGAACAATTGAAATTATATCACTAAAGATGAAGCTGTTGAAAATAAGCCAAAGGGTTTGAACATATAATATGAAGGAGAGAATGCCAAAAACTATAGAGAAAAAAAAATGGAAGACTTAAGGTACTATGAATAGAAAATTTTCAAAATAATTTGTGAAAAATAATAACCTCAGGATCCAAATAGTTGGAATAAGGCTAATGTTGGTGTTGCTATTATTTATTGCCGATAATGAATAATTTTTTAATAAATGCTCAATTACACTTTATATCGGTGGCTCACCAGTCCATGCAAATATTGTTTCCACATAATGCGAGTAAATGCTACTTCGTGAAAGAATTATCCTATTTCTTAACCAAAAAAAAATGCACCTATAATTTCTGGCTTATGCAACCAACAAAGCAAACCTCTGTTTTATTTGAAGCTCATTTTAACTCAGATATGTTTATGCTTTGATCATTTGTACATTGCAATGCATGCATCATGTTAGATCGTCTATACCATTATAGCATTTACATGAACAAAAGTAAATGGGCATAAAGGTTTGTAGCACGAACAATTTTTTTAACAAAGATACTAATGAATGTCAAACAGCTTATATTTTGCAATATCCAATGCAAAAGTTGGAGAAAGAAAAGAATAAAGTGGTTGAAATACCTTCAGTTTGGTCTCATGAACTGTGAGAGAATTCGTATGTTGTTCAATTGAGATGATATCTTCCTCTTTTCTTGCTATTTCCTTTTTATTAAGTGGCCGTTTCCGCACCTGCATCAATAAGCACCAAATTCCTTTTTAACAGAGAAAATGAAATTAGACATTATCTAGCTAGTGCATTCAAAATGAGAGCGTGGTTTTGTGTTCTAATCAATCCCTATGGAAGAACTAAGCTTCTTAACTCTGTAGCTCAAAAAAACAGTGCAAGTGAGGACAGAAGAATGACAATCTAAAGAATAAAATGCAAGTGTTTCTCCAGCTCTATAAGCAAACATTAAAAAGAATGGCGAAGAATTAAGAATCAAAATTAACATATCCTAAAAACGTACCACTACTTTAATCTTGGCAACAGAACCAGGCTTGTCCTTCTCTAATGGAAAACCCTTCGAGATAATATTTTCTGCCGTGGGAGGAGTCTTCCCAAACTGCTTGATAGAATAAATGTTAGAATCCGAGTCAGCAAGGCTACGCTCTCGCGCAAGCCCAAATGACGCCGCATCATCACATAATCCTGGAGCCGGTATCTGACCATACAATCAACAATTCAAATAAAAAAGGAAATATCGTTAAATTCCAATGGAAAACGGAGTCTCTATTCCAATTCATAACTTCCCGAAGAAATGCTACAAAATTGCAACCCGCCGCCCCGCACCCTTTCCCCCGCGGCAGATATCACAGAGAAAAGAAGAGAACTCTTACATCCGTTAGCAGCTCAGTGTCGAACGAATGGAGATCCAAGATTCCTGGACTAAGCTCACTCGGCGAGACATCATCGCCGGTCTTCTTCCGGCCGGAGCTCAATGGCGGAGTCGAGGGATCCATGGACAGCATGAACTCACCTCTCATTCCCCTCTGCGCGCTCCGTAGCATTCTCGAATACTCCACCTGGTCCAAACCCCAACCGATCTAAAAATCAACCAACAACAAAGAACTACAACCTACCTAACGATTACCGTAAGATCAAACACTCCAACCTGCTTCGAAGAAGAGAAACCGGGGGCCGGCAGGCTCTGCATCCACTTCCCGCCGCCGCCGCCGCCGCCTGAAGAGAAAGAATCGACAAGGAACTGTTCGGGAGAATACTGCCGTTGGTGTTGATGGCCCGATCGCTCCATCTGTCTTCCTCCCACCGCCGCCGCCGCGTTCATCCTTTGCTCGGACTGGTCTCGTTGGACGACCAATGTCAGTCGATGGGAGTCGCCGGCGATCAGCGGAGGTGTGGGGAGGAAGAGAGAGAAATTGTCAAATGCGAGTGAGATCTGGATCGGTTCAGCTGCCTGTTTGTAAAGGGAAGAGAGAAGGCCGCGAGGCTTACAAGTGACAAATGCCACCCGAGGTCAAATGCGAGTGAGATCTGGATCGCCTCAGCTGCCTGTTTGTAAAGGGGAGAAAGAGAGTAGGCCGCGAGGCTTACAAGTGACAAATGCCACCCGAAAAAGGAGGTGCTTTTTTTTTAATCAGTTAATTATTTGCTTCTCCGAAGATTCAAAACTTTGAAATAGAGGGAGACCAGATCCCTTGCGCAAGAAAAAAAAATTACATGTATACCCCTCAATTTTTATGTATTTATAGCTCTAAATTAAGGAAAAATATTACATTTGATACTGTAGCTGTTTGGGAATTACTTGCTAGTCGGATTTACATATAAAATGTCTAGATAGTCCCTTGATTGTTTGCATAAGCGTCCACACTTTAAATTGGAGTTGAAATAGTCCTCCTGGGCAACTATTTGGAGGACTATTTCAGCCCATTTTAAAACAGTTAGGTGCTAAATTGATACATTTTATAGACACTTGGATTAAAATGACTCCATGTAAAATAGTCAGGAGACTATTTGACACTTTACTCTTTAAAAATATGCCCAACTGCCACATTTTCAGCTCATTCTTGTCCCATCTTTGCTCTATATTTATTAATGATTTGTTTTGGTTGTTTTATACTTTCTTGATATTTTGCATATGAATCTCAACTTCAACATTACAACAATAACAACAAAAGTCTTTATCACACTATGTGGGGTCGGCTATATGAATCCTTTTTCTCTTTTGAGTCCTATTGAGTGTCATATTTTCATTTAATTCTAATAAATTAAGATCATTTTTTATACAATATGCTCAAGTCTTTCTCTTTTATACAATATGCTCAAGTCTTTCTAGGTCTACCTTTGCCTTTTTTAACATAAGTTAAATCTAAAATATCTACTTCTCTAACCAGATCATCAAATGGTCTATGTTTAATGTGAACAAACTATCTAAGACGATTCTTTCTAATTTTGTCTGCCATTGGAGCTACACCTACCCTATCACAAATATATTCGTTTTGCATTTTGTCTCTGAGTGTAAAGCCACTCATCAACCTAAGTATTATCATCTCGACAACATTTAACTTAGATTCATGTTTCTCTTTTCAAGGCCAACATTCTGCGCCATAGAGCGCTGCAGGTCTCAGCACCACCTTATAAAATTTTCCTTTCAGTCTAAGTGGTACTTTTCTATCACACAATGGGACTGAAACATCATACATTCCAACCAACCGACCTGAATTCTACTAATAACATCCCCATCTATATCACCATCACTTGAACAATAGACCCGAGATATCGAAAGCTTTCACACCTTTTAATAATTTGATCATTCATTGTTACAACTCTGTCACTGGAGCTACTACTACTAAAACTATATTTCACTTATTCAATTTTTGTTCTACTCAAATGAGGGCCTTTAGACTCCAAAGTAGACCTCTATAATTCAAGTTTTTCCCGAGCTCCTTCTCTAATATTGTCCATAAGAAGGATATCTTCAGCGAAAAACATACACTAACATACATCCTCTTGTAAATGTCCAATAAGAGCCATAACTAAAGCGAAGAGATATAAAATTAAAGTTTATCCCTGATGTAATCCAATTGAGATAGGAAAATATTTGGTCAATTCTCATTCTGTTCGAACACAAGTAACAACTATAGTATACATATCCTTAATGACTTGAATATAAGTCACATCATCACTTTTTTTCTCCATAACTCTCCAAAGGATATCTCTTGGGCCCCTATGATAAGTTTTTTCTAAATCAATAAAAATCATATGTATATCTTCCTTATTCTCTTTGTACCTCTCTATCAATCATTTTAGTAAATATATAGCTTTCATAATAGACATGTCTGACATAAATCCAAACTGATTATGAGAAATCTTTGTAATACGTCTTAACTTATGTTCAATTACTCCTTCCCGTAATTTAAAAGTATGACACATCAACTTAATTTCTCTATAATTTGCACTCTCTTTTGCATCCCTTTTTTCTTAAAAATAGGGACCAAGAAAGTCCTAAATTTTCTAAATATTTTCACATTTGTAATTGAGATTTCATCTGATATTACAGAGATTCCATCCTTGGTTTTCTTTAAAGCCTCCTCAACTTTTTTTTACTAATGCGTAAAAATGAAATATTTTATTATTATTAACAATATTAAGATCATTAAGGTCGATCGTATTTTCAGAAATATCATTGAAAAGTTTATCAAAATAACTCATTCACATTTGTTGAATATTTTTTTCTAAAAAAAATACTTTTTGTTTTTCTTCTTTAATACACTTTACTTGAGTTAAATCTTTATTATTCTTTTCTTTTTATTTGGCTAGTTTTTATACATATATATATATATATATATATGAATATATGACAGAGACCCAAATACTAATTTCCCATGCGCTAGGCCCTTTGATGAGAGCCCGTGTCATGTGCCTAAATATTCTAGAACCCAGCCTCATTGGGGATCAAACCCGTGACCTAAGGAGACTTATAATGAAACCCGCCAACCAACAGGCCAAGACTTACGACACTATATATTAAAGATCACTAAAAATAGTATTTTTAGCATTTTAAATTGTTTTCTTAGACTCCCTACGGGTTATTTTATATTTTTCTCAGTTTTCAAAATTTTAAATTCAAACCAATTTTTAGAACATAACTTATTATATTTTATCTAAACTTGCACAGTATTATTGTATAAACAACTATTTTTATTTATAGAAATATTTTCTTTTAATTCTCCAAATACATATTTTATCATTTGTTTAATAGTATTTGTTAATTCATCCCATATATAATTTGTTTCTTCATGAACATCATAAATCTTACTTATAAAAATATTTTTTTGTCTTTTAATTTCCCCAATATAATTCTATGATAATGATTCATAGTTTTCTTTATTTTATAACTTTTCATCTTAATATCCATAATTAATAATCGATGTTAAGTACTTAAATTCTGACTTAGAATAACCTTGCAATCTTTATATTCTCGACAATCTTATTTTCTCATAAGAAAATAATCAATTTGTGTTTTATTAGATCCACTCTTACAAATAATATAATAATATGCTTATATTTTTTCTATGCTTATATTTTTTCTTGAATAAAGTATTAGTAATAATAAAATCAAACACTAAAGTACAATCTATTATGACTCTACTTTCTTCATTAATCGCTCCAAAACCATGATCACCATGAATTTTTCTAAAATTTTCTACCGCTACCGACTTGTCCATTTAAATCCTCTCCAATAAAAATTCTTTCTTAAAGTGGTATCGTAAAGTAGTATCGTTTATATTAATTCTTTTAGATCATTTCAAAATTTTTCTTTAGAACATATATTTAAATCTACTTGAGGAGCAGAAGCAATTATAATATTAAAAATTTTAGTATCGACAACAATCTTAAGGGCTGTAATTTAATCTCTAATTTTATTATTTTTCACAACATTATCTTTCAAACTCTTATTTATAATTATACGTATATCATTTCTAGTGCGACTCTTACCTGAATACCAAAGTTTAAAATCTAAATGATCAATCTCCTTAGTTTTTTCTGCAACTCATTTAGTTTATTGAATACATAAGATATTTATATTGCTAATCATAATATCAAATTTTTTTTAAATTTAACTGTGAGAGTATCTATATTCTAAGATAATATCCAAAAATTAGTTTTATGGACTAATTTGTTTACCTACTTCTATCTGTAATGTAGGAACCTTTGCTTATTTGACACTATACCCGGACGCCAATGTAGCGGCTCTTACACACTAGGTCATACAACGCGTCTCTTTCAAGGGATGCTCTAACATTTACACAGTGATCAAAAGGCTTCATATCATGATTTTTTGACACACTTTACGCTGGTTGTCTACTACCTAACACAACCTTCCACTTTTCACATCTGAGACTTGAGATCTGACAATAATAGTGTTAAACATTGAATTAAAAAAGAAAAGGGTTCCCTTGTGCATGGAGATCTTGTCGATGCAAGGTCTCAGTAGATGTTGAGATGTCTCTCAATTGTCATTTATACTTATTATTGGTTGTTGGATTCAAATTTTGGGCATTTACATACATACCACACAATTCTTATGTATTTTCATACATCTAAACATTCATATTTATATTTAACATCACGTAAAAATATCACTATCGCTATCTTTTTAAAATTGAAATGCACATTTTCATGTCTAGGTATGTGTTATAAATGTAAATATCAAACTTTGAGTGTTAGCAAGGGAATACATAAAAATTGTATGGCAAGCACGTGAATTTCTCTTCAATTCTTTGTTTCCAAGTCCACTAAACTTGGTTTATGTGGTTTTTAGGAACTTGGGGTGGACATGGAGGTTGGTTTTTTGCTTTATGGACCTCCGGGTTGTGGGAAAACATTGATTGCAAAGGCTCTAGCCAACGAGGCAGATGCCAACTTTATACATAGTAAGGTGCGTGCAAACTCTTCCAAGCTTTCGTTTGAGAATTTTTTTTTGTTTGAAAATAATTATTTGCTTTGTATCAATAATATGCAGGGCCCTGAGATTCTGAGGAAATATGCTGGAGAAAACGAGCAAGAAGTTAGAACAATATTTAGCCGTGCGAGAACTTGTTCTTCGTGCATACTTTTCTTTGATGAAGTGCGTACAGACCCATCAATCATCAAATATCTACTAATTAATATGTAACAAAAAAGGGTAATATTAAATGCTAGTAGTAAAAAACCATCCTATTTTGCATTGTATTTATCTTGATTTTTATGTTATTAGTTTGTTTTAGGTGGATGCTTTGACACCAAAGAGAGGAAGAGAAGGAGCGTTGGTTGTGGAACGGACCCTAAACCAAGTTATCTTTTTTACATATCTAACACCCTGAATTTTACTTTTTACATATCCATAACCCAAATCTTTCATATCACGTCAAAAATCCACTATTTTAACTTTTAAAAGTGAAGATCACATCAAAAATCCACTATTTTAACTTTTAAAAGTGAAGTATACCTTTTTCATGCATGCACAAGGCGTATATATGTAAAATTTGAAGTTTAGGTGTTAGATATGTAAATACATAGGAGTTGAATGTTCGTTAAATTTAATGCCTAAGCTTGGATAACTTTCATTGAAATGCAGCTGCTTATAGAATTAGATGGTGCTGTTCAGCGGCGCGGTGTTTACGTTATTGGAGCTACGAAAAGGCTTGAAGTGATCGACCCTGCCGTTCTACGGCCGGGTAGATTTGGAAGACTTTCTTACGTCCCTCTTCCAACTGCAGAGGAACGGGGTTTGATTTTGAGAGGACTTTGTCTTAAAAAGCCTGTTTCTCCGGATTTTTATTACACCGCCCTTGCTTCTAGAGAGGCATGTAGGAATCTCAATGGGGCTGATCTTGTTGTTCTGGTAAGGCTGAACTGGAATATATAATGAAAAGGGTCATTTACATACACAGCACATCATTCTTATGCATGTATATCTCTCACAAGTATACTTTTATATATACAAACATAACACTTAAATCTTTAATATTACTTCAAAAACAGTAGCATTAACACTTTTTAAAAGTGAAATAACATTTTCATGCATTGTTTTAAATCACCAAAGTGCTTCGTATATAAATATGAATGTTTAGGTGTGATATATATAAATACATAAGAATTATGTTACATGTATGTAAATTTCCCTATTAAAAATTGCACATATATGAGATTAGAGGCATTTTAACTGGCTTGCAATTTTTTTTTTTTATTTTATAACAGGGAAATGAAGCTGCCAATAAGCTGCCATGATTGTGAAGGAGGAGAAACAGTTGCATGTGGACCAAGGGATTTCGTATGATACACCATTTGTGATAAAGACATCACAGTTTGAAAAGGCCCTTGAGACGATCGTCCCGTCGGTCTCAGAGGAGGTATGAAACACAAACGTACATAGCTCGGAGCCCTTTTTTCTTAGGGACATTTACATACATACCGCCCAATTCCTATGTATTTACATATTTAACTCATAAACTTTCATTTCTATTTTTATACCACTCAAATCTTTCATGTCACAACAAAATTACCACTATTTTAATCTTTGTAAGGTGGCATGTTTGTTAAAAATTTAAGTTTAGTGTCAGATATGTAACATAGGAATTTGAGTGGTGTGCTAGTAAATCTTCCTATACCACTTTGCGTGGACTAACTATCTATCTCTGTAATGAAGCACTAATGGATTTGTCTTTGTTAGTGAGGTGCCTTACTTTTTATATATTGTCATATCAATGTTGCTCATTGTCATCGTTAGGCTTATCCCAACTTTTTGGTGTTGGTTTCATGAATTCTTTTTTCGTTAGTATCTTAATGGCTTCAAGTCATAGTTTTACTCTCTGGCTTTGTTTGAAAATTTCTTTATGCATTTAGGGTAAACATGCAAATTTAATTTGGTTTCAGAAATTACTTTATGCACAAATTTTGAACTTGTTCTCCTTCCTTTTGTTGTTATATACTGCAGCAAAGGCGTTACCATGAGGCCTTGTCCCAGAACTTACACAGTATCATGAAATGAGACTCTCCAATCAACTTGATAAGTGCGATATTATATTTCAAGGTTGAGTTTGCGGATTAGCTCTGCAAAAATTTGTTTCAATGGATTATTTTAAAAGGCGTGTAATTTTGATTGAGCGAATCAGGGAAAGTTTTATCAGGATGAGGCTGCTTCTACATGCTATATTTTGTGTTACAGATTATCAATTTTATACCTTTTCTTGACAAAGTTGTGTAATCAGGAGAATTATTAAAAGCTGTGGTAGTTTTATCCTGAGTTTAACCGGAGGGCATGTAGAGGAGTTATTATTTTTTGAAATTTTCAAGTTAAGTCTTACATTTTGTAGTGTATTATTCTCTATTCCTGATGGCTTTCGTTATTTTTCTGCAAAAGCAAATTGTTCTGAAACCTATTGTGAGATTTCATGTTGTGTGATACTTTATTTAACGAATTAAACCTTTAGATGGTCCTAATATATATGAGTTTATCTTTGGTGTTCTAAATGAGCATATATAAGGCTTTCAACGAACCAGGTCATGTTTCCATCTAAAAGTACATTTATTTATATGATACCTTAAATTGTAACTAGCCATCCGATCTTTCAGGATCACCCAATCATTCTTTTGAAATTGTGGATAAAAATCTTAGGGATTTATTCTTTGACATCATCATTTGTCATTTTCTTCCCCTTAAGTTGTTTGGATACCCTCTTCTTCTGAAGCTCTTTGGCTGTCAGCAATGGTTTTTACTCTGCAAATTATCACAGTCGGGAACTCCATGTTCTTTAATTTGCTCTTTTCTTGAGCTTATACTAAGTGGTTTCATTTTTTAAATTTCTCAGCTTTGGTTCGTTGTCACTTTTGCTAGACTAACCAGTGCTTTTTTCTAGTATAATAATTTATGGATATCATTTGCTTGGTGTTGTGTTAGTTTTGTCACATTGATCATTTCTTTGTATAAATCATAGAATTTATAGTATTGCATGCTGTGTATATCAAAAGGATTTCTTAACAAGTTATCTTCCTTTTCGCAATTTGGAGGATCTGTTTGGGTGAGTTGGCATTGTTCTAGCCTCAAATTTGTTGCAAATACCCTACCTACTGTCATCTTCAAAATTTCTTAACTCTAGTTATTTATGAACTTTGCTCCAGTAAAGAACACTTTTGTGCGCTAACCTCTGCTGAGGATTGCTAATTCGTTACAATTGTTAGAATTGGTTGTGTGATGCCCGGCACTCTTTATTCTTTTCTTTTTTTAATTGTCATACTTTTTAATTTAGTTGAGATGTCTTATAAAATAGCCATATTATGTGCAAAAAACCAGGCTTAAAGACACCTCATTTTAAAGTCTCTTTATTATTAGCTTAATTAGAAGATTTAAGTATTGCTTATATGATGACGGAGTTATTTTTTGTTATGTACAGATTACTGGAATTCCTGTCTTATTTATTTCAGCAATGGAGGGAAGGGGTCGAGTAGAAGTTATGCACCAGGTAGTCGACGCATACCAGAAGTGGTGCTCAAGATTGTCTACTGCTCGCCTAAACCGTTGGTTGAGGAAGGTAATGCTTTCATGCGATGTATTAAATTCTATTCTTATTGCTTCTTACTTGCTAATTTCTGCATATTATATTTGACAAATACTATATATTTACATATAGGGAGAGAGGTGTCAAAATGATCTCCTGGTTTGTTTTCCTCAGTGGGTCATTTTGAGTTCTAAAATTTATAAAATCATCAATTTAACCCAATTAAAAGAGTCTTGGGAATAATTTGACACATTTAAGAAACTCTGGGACTAAAATGATCCCATATAAATAATCAAGTGACTATGATATAAATATACTGAATTATATATGATTATATATATATCATATATAATCATATATATATATCATATATAATTCAGTATATTTATAATACTGAATTATATTCCCTATATTTATGAAAAAGCCCAAGGACTGATATATTAAAAATAAAGATACAGATAGGTTTGTATGAGTGGGTTTAAACAACCAACCCACATGGTACAACACACAAAAAAATGTAAAAGATAGGTACATATATAAATAAAAAGAAACTCAAAAACCACCCGGGCGCTGAAAAAGTGTGGGTCATCCCAATCTAGTTTTGCCTCCGGTTCTAGTTCTCGGTAGTAGAGCTGTAAACGAGCCGAGCTTGAGCGAGCTCAGGCTTGGCTCGTCTTCCCCTCCGGTGGAATAGCTATAGATGTAAAGTGTGGGATTTGAACCTGGATCAAATGTATACAAAAGAATGCACTAACCACATTACCACACGAGATGTTATGATTTAAACTTAGATATAAAAATATATAATATATTATTATATAAATAATATATGCAATATATTATTATATTAATAATTATATATTTTTTTAAATTTCGAACTAAAACGAGCCGAACATGAGCGAACAAAGAGCTGTTCGTGTTCGTCTCGTTTATAATTCGAGCTTTAAATATTTGTTGGTGTTCGGATCATTTACTTAACGAACGAACCGAACACGAGCTACTTAACGAGCTGAACACAAGTTATTCGCGAACAACGAGCTTTTTTTACTGTCCTACTCGGTAGGGATGCAGCTAGATTAGTGTTGTTGCATCGTTGAGTCAGCATCGCTAGTTTTTCAACGGAATTTTTAATGGCAGATTTCTGTGACACAAATTTGGTCTCCATTCTTCTTCTTCCTGCTGGAAGTGTAAACCTGTCATTCCTCCTCCGAAGAATCCGCCTGATGGGGTAGAGCTGAAGCAGAAGGATTACCAACAGTAATACCCACAATAGGTTCTACAATATGTGAAGTATGAGTTGTCGCTGCACCGAATATTTCTTGAAGAAGTGGAGCTGCGAGGCTCTCCTGATTATCAGTCTGAACACTATCATTTATAGATAATAGTTCATCAGTATTGTTTTGTAAAGAGTTTGTAGGTGTCAGCATCACATCACTCGCAGTAACAGTAACATCAATGTCATGGGGGGGGAGGGTGTCCTCAGGTGCAACAAACACCTCCTGTCTGGCAGTATCCTCCTCAGGTGGAACTAAAATGTCCACAGTTGTGGGGTTAGACCCATCCTTATTCACTTGAATCTTAGATTTCAAATTAGAATGAAATTTGTGGCATTTAGCTAGGATATGACCAAACATCTTACAGTGGGTATAATATGGGGGTTTAAGTTCCATGACGATTTGTTGTCAATAACCATTATGGGTTGTGCACAGTCAGACTTCAGTAACATCAGGTAAAATAATATCCCTTTCCACAAGTATTCTGGCCACCGAGGATCTGGTTAAGTTGAAAGTAGGCAGATATAGTTTTAAATGATCCCCAAGCATATGATGCATTGCATATAAATGATAATATTTTACCTGGGTTTCATATTACCTTTTTCCCTTTCTTTATTTCATTGAAGAAAGGTGGAATTTTTGCGCCTTATATATGTTTACTACGGGGTGTAAGTGAGCCGAGCTGGCTCAAGCTCGACTCGTTAATTGTCTTGCTAGTCAAATTTGATCTCAAACTCAAACTCATCTATTAAATGAGCTTGAGTTCAAGCTTGTCTGAGCTCATCGGCTCGCGAGCCAACTCGACTAGCCATCGATGGTTTCATTGATGACTTCTCCAATGTGCTGCCGTGA